TGGTTTCCTCGCATTACTGTATAGCCTTCCCCACCTATGAATAGACCATAATTTATCCATTTTACCATTGATGAGCATCTGGGCAGTTTCTAGTATTTTTGTCAGTTAATGACTGGTACAGCTGGGAATATTTCCTGTCTTTTGGGGCCCATGTGTACACCTTTCTGTTGAGTGTATATGCAAAGAAAGAGTGAAATCACTGGGTCAGAGGGTGGGCATGCACTTGGCCTTAGAAGGTGCAGTCAAACTGTTTCCAAAGCAGCTGTGCCAATTTATACCCTGCCAATAGACACAAGCTTGTCTAGGCTCAGAGCTGTCTCCCAGCCCTTGCTGTTCAACCGCTCACCCATCTGTCTGACCCACTGGGGCTGGGATGCCATCCAAGCCCCTGCCCCGCCCAGCTCCGACTGGCAGGAGACGCGCGTGAGAGAGGAGAGTGAAGGGCGTCAGGGAGAAGCGCAGAGGGCGTGCTCAGCGGCCCAGTGGCCGGGACTCTGCACGTTCACCACTGGGCGTCTGGGCCTGATCCCTGAGTGTGGGACTGAGACCCACCAAACCACGTGGCGTGGCCAGAAATAAAGTGTCAAAAAATTATTCTAAACAGACTTCAGTAAGTTCAAATACACTTTAAAGAAAAACACAGAGAGGAAAGAGAGAAGGAGGGAGGGCGGGGTGAGGGGAAGGGGAGAGGGAGGTGGGGAATGAAGGAGACGGCCTCCCCGCCAGCGGCTGCAGCATGCTGGCTGCTCTGGGGCAAGGGCTAGCTGGGCTGAAACTGCGCCTCCCGGTTCACCCTAAAACCTCACTGTGCCCTAAAAATGGACAACTGAGTAAGTGTCTTTCTCTATTCATTTCAGGATCGTCTTCCAAACATAGGTTGTCTTCTGGGAATTACTGGGAGGGGCGAGGACAGCAGGATCCCCGGGTGAGAAGGCTTCGAGATGAGCCCCTGGAGGCCCCTGGCTTGGAGATTGGCCAAGCAGACGGTCCCAGGGTCCACCTCTTCCCAGACGAGCCTGCCCACTGCCCTCTGCCGCTGCAGGAAGCAGGGGCAGGGCTCTGGGTCCTCGGCCAAGGCCAGATTCCAGGGCAGAGCCTGCTGGGCAGAGAGAGAGGGGGCCCCCGGGATGCTGGATGCACCTCCTGAAGCCGCCCCATGGGCGAGCCCGTCTCCCTGCCAGGCGGCACAGACCCCCGGAGGGCCGCCCTGAACCCAGCCCCTCACAGCCTGGCCCAGTCTCGGGTGTCAGCCAGAATCCAGATGTGCCAGGGCAGGTTGAATGAAGTGGGCTTGCTTCCTCTGCTTTGCCTGTGCCAGCCCTGGCTCTCTGCAAGCAGACTCAGCAATGGAAGAAGCAGGGAGCCCACGCCGTCTGCAGTGAGCGCAGGAGTCTCCTTCCTGGACTTTCTGAGTTCCTTAAATCCTCAAGAAACAGAGGTTTCACCACCTCACAAGGGCTCCCATGGTTGAGCTATGCAGTTGTGACACAGTAGAAGCCACCATTTTTTGCAGCTTCATTAGGGACCAGACACTGTCAACCTTACATACTTTATTCCACAGTGTCTCCATGAAGTAGGTGTTATCATTATCAAACCCATTTTGCAGAGGCAGGAACTGAGGTTTAGAGCCATTATGCATCTGCCTAAAATCACATTTTGTGTGTGTGTGTGTATACGTATATAATATATATACATATATAACATACATGATATATGTACATATATAATATATAAAAATAATTTTTTCCTACCTCTCTCTAACGAGAGGGCCTAGAAACAGTGGCACCACAATAGCAGTGAGCACATACATTGCCCAGATCTTAGTTTCTAAATACCACACTCTAATAAAAGGAATCACAGTCCTCAGAGAAATGGCTGGTTCTCTTCTGAAAGGGAAAGCAGAAGATGAGCCTAGCATCGTGCTGTACCAGAAACGAAGGAAATGCTCAAAAAAAAAAAAAAAACCAAAAGGATGAGGGACATCATAGACACAGAAGCTCATCTGGAAGAGTTCCCAATGGCCAAAACTGGACAATCTGAACAACAAAATAAATAACTTAGTACTGAATTATAACCCAAAAGATAAGATAGATAAAGGCATGGGTCCACGCTGATAGAAATAAATGGGAGAGGGGAGGAAAAATCTTCCTTAGGGAAGAATTCAAAATAATATCTATAGATACAGTTTCCAGGAGGTGGAGCATGTCTTCTCCCCAGTCGAGTATGGGCTCCACTTGCTTCAAATGACAGAGTAGGAGAAGGAGAAAATAGTGCCTTCACAGTGGGAGAGCCTGGCAGACACCAGCTCAACCATGTAATCAGGGCCAACGGGGCCAGTGAGAAGCCACGAGGGCCCTTCACCCCGTCGTCTTCTCCCCAGCCCGCAGCCCTGCCCAGTCATGAGCAAAACATCGCACAAGCTCCAGCGGAGGGACCGTCTAACAAAACACTGAACTCCTCAAACCTGGCAAGGTCACGAAAAATAAGGAAAGATTGAAAAACTGTCGTAGATCAGTGCCGTGATGACTACATGTGGTGTGGGATCCTAGATTGGTTAACGGAGCAAAAAAAAAAAAGACATTAGTGGAGAAATTGGTGAAATCAAAACAAAGTCTGGCGTTCAGTTAATAGTCATGTATCAATGTTGGTTTCTTAGTTTTAGCAACTGTTCCATGGTCATGTAAGATGCTACCATTAGGGAGACTGGCCAAGGAGTGTCCAGAACTCACTGTACAGGCCTGCAACTCTTCTGTAAACTTAGAAGTTATTCCAGAGTAAAAGTTCTGTTTAAGAATCATACAGGTGACTTCCCCGGTGGTCCAGGGGTTAAGACTCCGCTCCCCCAGTGCAGAGGGCATGGGTTCTATCCCTGGTTGGGGAGCTAAGATGCCACATGCCACCTTAAAAAATCACCCTGGCTATAAACGTATGAACCAGAACTCAAATTCAAACGTCTGTCTCCTTAGCCCATACGCTCCGCCCTCCCCACACCATCTCATGTTAGGAAGTTGTTCCCGAAGCCCACTTCATGGATCTGAGCCTCTCATCTGCCCACCTTTGCCCTCTCAGACCAACCCCATCTGTTTTCTCTGCCCCACACCCTCCTCTTGAGAGACGAAGGATGCTCCTATCCGCTCCGGTATGCTCACATCTCCAAGGTCAATATTCCTAGGTTGTTCCACTCCTGGGTGACTTGGGTTTCAGTGAATGTTGGCCACCCTAGCACCCACCCCTCCTTTGCAGCAGCCATCTGATTCCACATGGGGATCCATAGCGTTCCAGAGAAATTAACCTGGTTCCAGAGAAGAGCACATGACTTAGGTGAGGTCTATTAGCACACACCAACCCTGGCCACGATGATCAGCCCAGAGGTAGCCATGTGACCCAACCAGGTCTAAAATATCCTGGGAGTTTGACAGGGAATGGTAGGATGAAGGCAATTCTCTTCAACGTGGGATGTGAATGAAGAAGCCCCTGAAAGTCCTAGGATGAAGCCTGAGGACAGCAGAGCAGAGGGGTGGAAAGTCTGGGCTGTCGCTGACTTCAGTGGCCACTGGACCAGACCTTGCCTGAAGCACGGACTGCCCCTCCACTGACTGAGAAATGCCCTCCCAAAAGATCTTATTGGACAAAGGCAGGGGAGGAGGGTTCTTGGCAGGTGGGATTTAAATGAAAGAAACGGAGTGGGGAGATGGTCTGCGTGGGCCCCAAATACAACCACACGTACCCTTGTAAGAGGGAGATCAGACACGCAAAGAAGGCAATGTGACTGCAGAAGCCGAGCCGGGGATGGTGCGGCCACAAGCCACAGAATGCTGCGGGCACCCGGAGCCAGGGTGCTAGAGCACACCACCCCTGCCGGATAGAGCACAGCCCTGCCCACACCTGGATTCTGCTCAAAGACACTGACTTTAGGGTGCTGGCCTCCAGAACAGATAGAAGAGATTCCTATTGTCTTCAAATCACTTAGTTTGTGATCATTTGTTAAAGAAGCTGTAAGAAACAAATCCAAGAACAAATAAATTCTCTTGATTATTTAAGCCTATTGGAATCTGATATTTTGCTAACTGCAGCCCAAAGCAGTCTAACTGACATGCAGCTCCTGTCTCATCATCCTCTGGTCAAGAGGTGAACTCTACAGAAGAGCAGATCCCAGGGAGAGGCGAGCAGTCGGAGCTCCTCCCGACCTTTTTCCTTGGCTGCTCCATCCAGTCTCCCCTAATGGTAGCATCGTACACGACCACGGAACAGTTGCTAAAACTAAGAAAGCAACATTCATGCGTGCACACCTGAGCGGATAGGAGCATCCTTCGTCTCTCAAGAGGAGGGCGTGGGGCTCTCTAGACAGCCCGGCTCAGCAGTTGGCGTGTGGGCTTTTCCCCAGTTGCAGCACCGGGTTTAGGTGCCCCCTGGGGCATGTGGGATCTTAGTTAGATGACCAGGGATCAAACCCGCATCCCCTGCATTGGAAGGTGGATCCTTAACCCTGGACAATGAGAGAGGCCCAACCCTCCTTCTCTAGCTGAGAAACAGGGCTGGGGCACAAGCGGTACCATAAGGCTCACAGACTCCAAGCAAAGGCATACGGCAATTTATTTACAGGTAAGTCACAGCAACCGGGGCCCACACAGGCTCAGACCAGAGACTCCGGATCTGTCTACACAGATAGGCCCCAGCACCCAGAGCCACTGCCAGTCAGGCCCCTGCCAGAGGGGCCGAGACTGCGGCAGGGTGGAGGGCAGGAAAGGGAGAGGCCAGGTCCCAGAGGGCACGGGCCCGGGGGGTAAACGGCCCTCGTGCCTGGACTGTGGACTCGAGCAGTAGGAGGACAGTGGAGACTCTTCAGAGGCGACCCCCGCCTGTGTCCAGCCTGCACCCTCGAAGCCGGGCATCAGAAAAGAAGCCCCAGTGGCAGCAGGTGGGACGTGGGGACAGCGCAGGTCCCCTGCAGACCTGTCCAGGCGCCAGCGTGGGGCTGCTGTCCTGGGTCATGGCCGCCGTCACACGGGGGGGCCCCCCAGCTTGCTGGTGGCACTTGTGACCCGCTTATTTTCCCGGAGGTTCCGGAGGCGGGCACTGAGGCTGCTGATCTCCTCCACGTAGGCCTGGGGCACCCAGCCCTTTTCGCCATCTGCCAGGCGCACCCCTTCCAGCCAGCCTAAGGGTACATGAGCCGGGGGCAGCATCAGTGACATCCAAAGAACACCTGGGCCCTAACGCAAGCCCTGTCTGCACCCCAGGGCTGAGAGGACACCATCTCAGCATCTCCCGGGGGCAGGAAGGGGCACTCCTCTAGCAGACTGGTAGGTGGACTTCTGATCTGTTGTTCCCGATGCTCTCTGAGGAGGGATTTCCCCACTTCTCCCCCATCAGTTACTCTCAACCCTACACCTTTGCAAGCAGGAAGTTCATCTTCTTGTCTAACTTGATTCTTGCATGCTATGGTGGATCAACACTGGTGTCACTTTTTCCTATGAAGGCTTAGCTGTCTAGCTCCCTCCTGCCCAAAAAAGCCCCCACCAGGAGGCCTCTCCAGGAGGGCCCTCTCACCGTCACTGGTCCGCATCCTCACGGCCAGGATGTCCGTCTTCTCCAAGGTCAGCTCGTCTGGCTGCGACGCCTTGTATGTTCTGACACACTGGACCTGGGGGTGGTCTGAGAACGCGGGGGGCAGTGAGGGAGCCCCCAGGGGGAGGCAGGAGGAGAGAACGGCAGGGAGGGGAGAAAGAAAGAGTGGCGATTGCAGCTCTTCCCCTGTCCACCCTAGCCACTCTCCTCTCTGACCCGAAACACAAGTTCTAGGTGAGTCCAGTCCCTCCAAGCTTCGATTACTACATCTGTGCCCTGGGCTTCCCAGCTCAATTCAATGTTTTGCTTCTGACCTCCTGGTCTAACTGTCTCTACAAAATAGCAATGGCCCCTTTATATGGCACAGAGGTAAAGAATCCACCTGCCAAGGCAGGAGATGAAAGAGACGTGGCTTTGATCCCTGGGTCGGGAATATGCCCTGGAGGAGGCAATCGCAGCCCACTCCAGCATTCTTGCCTGAAGAATTCCATGGACAGAGGGGCCTGGCGGGCTGCAGCCCGTGGGGCCGCAGAGCCAGACACGACTGAGCACGCGCCCTCTGTCTGTCCTTTCACGCTGCTCTGATGCTCCCTCCATCCATCCTCCTCAGCTGAGACTCAAACGTCACTCCCACTTATAACCCTCCTCTGAGAACAAAAGTCCTCCCACAGCCTCCAAAGCCTTGCACAGTACGGCGCTGCCCCTTGCTCACTGCCTCACCAGCCTCATCTTCCCCTTCCTCCTCGGTCAAGAAGCCCAGCCGCACACTTATCACCTTGCTGGTCCCCAAACACTCTAAGCTCCCTCCCGCCTCAGGGCCCTTGCACGGCTGTTTCCCCTTCCAAGAGTGCCCTTCCTAGATACCACCGTGGCTGCCCCTCCCCGTCCTTCAGCAGCCTTCCCTGACCACCTCCTCGGAGGGGCAAGTTCACCCTCCGGCCCAAACGGGACCTCTAGTGCTGGTCAGAGAATCAATTCCGGTCTGGTCTCAGCCCCTTCTACCACACTAGGTGGACTGGGAGTGTCGGGAAAACCACAGGCCTCGGGGTCAGACCAGGCTTGAAGCCCAGCTTACTGACCTTGGGCAAGTTACCGAACAGCCCTGGGCCTCAGTGTTCTCAGATACGGAGAATGAATCTACCCAAGGGCATTGTTGTGACCAGTAGCCGTTCCCTTTTCCAGGAGATCTCCCCGAGCCAGCGACTGAACTGGGTCTCCGTCATTGCAGGCAGAAAATAAAGGCATGTGCGAAGCCCTCGGCACCCCAGCGCGTGGAAAGTACTAGGTGGAAACGTGCTGCTTACCTTCCTTTTCATTGGCTCAACCCTAACGCCCTAGCTCAAAAACCCTGCACAACTACCTGGCTCCCACCACACCAGGATGTCCTCTGGTTGGGCTGCACCCTGCCTCACCGGCCTCATATCATGCCCAGAGAAGCCTCTGGATCAGCAGGGCAGACCCCTCGGCCTGCCACACCCCCACCTGCTCCCGGCCACTCTGCTCCTGTCCTCTCTGCAACTGACGCAGAGCCACAGAGAGGCCCGATTCCAGTCCCAGCTCAGCTGCTGACCGCTGAACCTGGACAAGCCACTTGACCTCTGCAAATCTGTTTTCTAACTCGTAAAAGCAGCTTCTGCAGGGACAGCATGGGAGGATGGGCAAGGCTGCATCCTCTCCAGGGTGCTGACTGCACATGGAAGCCAGTCTGTGTCAAGCCGGCCCGTCCTCCAGGGTCTCACAGATCCACCCCCTGTCCCCAGGCTGGCTGACCCCACTCCCTGCCGGCCCCACAGGCAACATGGCGCCCAGAGCCAGGGGGAAGGGGGGTGCGATACGGTACCCAGCTCCGGGGACGTGGCCCTCGTGGTGGGGGACAGGCTGCTACCTTCCCCCTCGCTGATGACCTCCTTGTCCTCCTGGGGGCTGGAGGGGCACAGGGCCGAGATCCATCGCTGCTTCTCGCTCCTGGGGAGAGGAAGGCTGAATTGTCCCAACATGAGAACTGCAGTCTCCCAGGGCCATGGTGGAGAAACCGGGGCTGGGAGGACAGGGTATGATGTGCAGACGTGGGACCTGAGTCAGGCCATCTCCACCCCAAGGCCCACCCAAGCCAGTGCCCACCCAGCTCTGAGGATGAGCACAGAACAGGTCCAGGACCCCCTGGATGCCAGCTCTGCCAGCTCCAGCCTTAGGCTGCCATCCTGAGCCAGAGAGGAAGGCTTCGCCCCTGTCTGGGGGGTCTGCTCCCCAAGCCCAGGCCCACTCACTCCGTCCGGGCCCTCAGCAGGAACTGGTGCTTCGTGTGCTGCCCGTGGAGGAGCTGAAGGAGGAACACATGGCCGGGGATGCCCTGCAGCTTGAGGCTCAGGTCCTTCACCTGCAGCTCTGCCATCTTCGCATGGACGAAGACGGCAAACTTCCCCAGCCTAGAATGGGGCGGGGGGGGGGGGGGGCGGTGAGGTCAGCCTGGCCCTACCCTTGGGACGAGGTGACTGCTGATGGGAAGAGAAGAGAAGGCGTCATCTGTCCCTAGGACCCTCCTCAAGGTCTGCACAGGGCAGTCAGCAAAATGAGGGCTGCAATCTCCCTGGCTCAGGTGGGATGTGACGCAGACAGTCCCTGCCCCCGATCTCCCTGGCTCACTGACAGACGCGGGAGGTGATGGAGACAGTCCCTGCCCCAGGCACACTTTCCACTCTCTCTGAACCTCTTCCTGGAGCCTCTGTTCCATAGAGAAGCCTGGGCAGCTTCCCCACTGAGATCTGCAGACTGCTTTGCGTCTGCCTCTCTAACCATATAGGAGGTGGACTCTGTCTCACTTGCTGCCGCATCACAGCACCTGGCTCTGCCAGGCCCGCTGTTTGGGTCTGATAAACCCTTCTAAGGAAGGTGGGCAGGTGGGTAGACGGAGGGTGCTCCATAGTTCCTTCATGTCGGCTGATCTGGACAAAACCAGCATCTTCACCAGACCAGGTCCCTCCGCAGGTCCCCGTTCCAGCGAAAGAGGCCAGCGAATCCCCCGAGGACACTCAGGCCTTCTGCTCACCTCTTTCCTCCCCCGCCCCCACACCCGGCCAGCAGCTGTGTCCTATTCGTTGGTCTCCTTGCTGCCCCCAGAACTCACATACCCCTACGCCCACCACTAATTCTGGAGCCTCTGCTCTCATCTGGGCAGTTACAGGAGCTTCTGTTCTCTGCCTTCCAGCCTGTTCTCCAAACTAGCTGGAGTAAACTCCCTCCTCTGCTTAACTCTCCACGCTCCCCGCTGCTCTCAGAAAGTCCAACCTTTCTGCCATGGCTTTCAACATGCCAACTTCCCTTTCTTGCCCTTTCTTTCTACAAACTCAGCCACACTAGGCTTCATCACCTTCCAGACATACTCTGCTCTTCCATCCTTCTGTAACTTGGCTATATTTCTCCAATCACCTCTACCTGGAAAACTCCTATGTATTCTTCAAAACTCAGTTCAAACATTCCTTCCTCTATGAAGTTTTACTGACTCTCATTCCACACCAGAGAATACTACAGTACAGATAACCCTTCCATCAAAACTCTGAACCGGTGATTATTAGGATTATTTTCACTGGTGTGAGACTGCCTGTGAGCAGAGAACAAATCTCATTCATCTCTAAGTTCCCAACATCCTTTGGAGGACCCAGTACAGAATAAGGATTCAATGACGCTTCACTGAGTGAATAAACAAATCAGAACTGAACTTTTTCTCTTTCCATGGCATAAGACATCCATCCACCATCCCCTCCATCCTTAAGGCTTACTTCAGGAAGTCTTCCAGACTTATAATAATCACAGCTAATGCTGAATGAGTATTCAGTATATGCCATGCTGTGTGCTAACCTCTTCATGTGTTATTATCACAGTGCATTTCCCTACATGGTAGCCTCTATTTGACAGATGGAAAACAGGACAGTGCAGTAGTTATGAGCCTGGGATCTAGCATCAGACATACCTGACCTCCTCCTGGTTCCTGCATTCACTAGCTCCATGATCTCGAGAATAACAGGAGAGGCTACTTTCCAGGAAGACACTCAGGATTAAAGGGGAAAATCCACATAGCATGCCTGGCACAGAAAAGGTGCTCAGATGTTCGTTATTATCACTATGGCTCAGGGGCGGATGTGCTTTTAGTCTCTGCTCCAATTGGTGTCCCTCATAGCCTAGTTGGTAAAAAATCTGCCTGCAGTGCAGAAGACCCAGATTCTAGTGCTGGGTCAGGAAGAACCCCTGGAGAAGGAAATGGCAACCCACTCCAGTATTCTTGCCTGGAGAATCCCATGGACGGAGGAGCCTGGTGGGCTACAGTCCATGGGGTCGCAAAGAGTTGGGCACGACTGAGCGTATCTCTTCCTTCCAATTGGTTTAAGCTCAGAGCAGCTTCAAAGTTCTCGGCACACAGTCCAGCCCTTGATTCTCAGGTCCAGAAGATGGATGTGCCCTGGCTCTGCCTTTCCTGGGGGAGCCACTCAGCTTTAGGGTGCCCCAGCAGCACAGCCTGGCATATGTGAGCCCGCGGATGCAAAAAGAAGGGAGCTCCACGCTCACCACCACCACCCAAATCCTGCCCCGACTCACTCCTTCCGCCGGGAGAGCAGCAGGCAATCATTGAAGAGGTGCAGGTAGACCGCCTTGCTGGACAGCTTCAGCTTGGCAGGGGGCACCGCGGGCAGGGGTGCCAGCTCCACCAGCTCCCCGTGCCGAACCAGCCAGCGGGCCTGAGAGATCAGCGGGAAGATCTGGGAGGATGGAAGAGACAGGGGTCAGGCCAGGGGCAGAGGGCAGAGGGCAGGGGGTGGGAGGGCTGTACAGTGATGAACTGGCCCGCAGCCCCCAGGGAGGAGGCGACAGGGCTGCCCCTCCGGGTGCCCCAGCCCCCCGGCTGAGGGCGGATACCTTGCCCTCAAAGTGGATCTTCTTGCTCAGATGGATGAGCTCCTCTGTCCTCTTCATGGTCTGCACACTGGCATTGCACTCTTGCACCAGCTGCAGAGACAGTGGGGGTCACCCGCAGCAGCCCCAGCCCTGACTCCCTCAGCCCAGTCTCAGGCTCCCACCTGGAGACCAGGGGCTGTGAAGCCTGAGGCTCCTCTGGAGACACACAGGGGTTCCAGGGAGGCCCTTGGGAGCCAGACGCCTCCTCCGTGCCGCGCTCACCTCCTTGAGGGCGTTGAAGGCCTTGGTGGCCATGTCTTCATCTTCAGAGCCCTGCGCTGTCCGCTTCAGGATGTTCTGGAAGGCAGTCAGTGCAGCGAGGCAGTGTGGCCTCTCCCAGGGACCCTGCCCAGCCCTGGGTGCCCCGAGGGGCTGTGGCAATAAAGGGGTCTCCCCCCCACGCAGCCCTCCCCACAGCCTCGTGCCCTCAGGTACCTCCACCAGCATCTTGAGGCGGGTGATCCTCTGAAACGGCAGGATGAGGAAGGAAGTGAGGGGCAGCCGCTGGCACACAGGAGACTCCTCCAGGCGAGCCAGGATGCCAGGGAACTTGGGGTTCTCCAGGCTGGACAGTGGGGGCGGGAGAGGGTCTACAATGACAGGAGGCCCCGAACGCGGGATCCCCGCCTCCAGCCACCCCTCTGGTCCTTCGGGGGCCTCGGCAGGTCTGGCTCCTCCTGGTCAGAGCCCAGGGCAGGCGCCCAGCCCCTCCCAGGTCAGCCCTCCGCAGCCCCGCCCCCTTCAGAGCCCCGCCTACAGCAGGCGCTGGTAGGTGCGCTCCTGGTAGGCCTGGTTGGTGACGTAGGGCAGGTAGACACGCCGGAAGGCCGGACAGTGCTGCAGGACCACGTCGCACACGCTGAAGCGGAGGACATCCGCCTCCAGCCGCTGCTCCAGGTCCTGCAGGAACCTGAAAGGGCAGCCAGGGGTCAGGGCCGGGGCCAGGAGGAGACCCCACAGGCGGGAGCCCAGCCAGCTGCAGCCTGGCTGCCTGACTCCCCGGGAGGCCGGGCCACTGCCTCACCTCTCGCTGGTGCTCTTGACCTCGGGCAGTTTGGAGAACAGCCACTGCTTGTCCTGTGTCCCCAGGCACTCACTCAGTTCGGCTGAGCCTAAGAAGTGGCCCACGGCCACCGACAGACTGTGGATGTATGAGGCCTCGGACGTGATCAGCTCAAACTTGGCCTGAGTGAGGGGGGATGCAGGGCTGAACCCTGAATGCACTCGCTTCGCCCACCAAGCGCACCCCGAGCCCTGGATACCGCCTCCTTAGATTCAGCGCACCCCCGGTCCCCTTCCCTTCTCCAGGCCCCTCGGGATCTAGCCCCAGGTTGGCTTCACAGACAGCCTCCTGCTGCTACTGCGGCTCCGACCCAGCTGCGCCCAAGTTTGCGCTCCACGCATCCGGCTGGCTCTGGTCTACCGGCCAAGCCCATCCACGTGCGCCCTCCCGCCGACCGGGTTCCTGCTCTAGGGCCTGCTGGGCCCGCGTGCACCCTGAGTTTCACCCTCTGCGCCGCTCCTCCCTCCCAGGCCCCGCTTTCAGGGGTCTCGGTCTAGGACTCTTTCCCTGGTCCTGCCGCACCTTGGGCCTTTTCCCGCTGACCCCGCCTCGGGGCCCCGGGCCCACCTCCCGCCCCCACCTCCCCCCCACCCCAGGCCCGGGCGCACCTCCTGCAGTTTGCAGCCCGTGGGACGGGTACCCAGGTGGCCAGGATCCCGCGCCCCCCAACTCGGGGTCCCGGGGCCCCTCCCACGCCCCTCGCCCAGTCCCGGCGCACCTCCTGCAGTTTGCAGTCGCGCAGGCTCAACGTGGCCAGGACGCCGCTGCCGCGCACGTCGGGAATGTCCTGCCACAGCGAGAAGGTGGAGCCCCGCGCAGCGCGCTGCGCCCTGAACGAGCTGCTCGGGGAGAGGTCGGCGCGCGGCGGCCCCGGGCCCTCCTCCGCGCCCTCCACCTCGTCCGCCGCGCCCTCCTCGCGCTGCTGCCGCCGCAGCTCGCGGGCGCTGGCCACGTCGCTGTATTCCTGGTAGAGGACGGCTGGGCGGAGAGCGGAGGCCGTGGGGCGCCCGCCGGCCCCCTGCCCCGGTCCCCGCGGCCCGCCTCGCCTAACCAGCCTTCCCGACGGTTAGAGGAGCGGAACTGGTGACTTGGGTCACTCGCCCACTCATCCCGCGAACCTTGGGCACCTCCTGAATGCTGCCCCTGTGCTGGCCACTCATGGTCCCGGTCTCTCCCTCCTACTGAAGCCCGACCTCTCAGCCCCCCAGATCCCGGTTTCTCGGTACCCCAAGCTCCCAGCCCCTCCCTCGGCGAACCCCCGCCCCCCACCCCCACCCCCCGCCCCAACGTACAGTTAAGCAGGAAGCGGGACTGGCGCCGCTCGCTGGCGCTCCGGGGCCCTGGCGCCGGCTCTTCCCGCGCATCCAGCCTGGGAAACGGAGCGTCAGGGTCCGTCACCGCCCCTCCCCGCCTCGAACCCGAGCCTGGAGTGGGAGTTGATACCTGGGCTCCTGCCAGCTGTCGGGGACCCCGCTCAGGTCAACAGGAGCTGGCGTCGCTGTGGTGTCCACCCTCATCTCTACACTGCGCGAGTCTCTTCCAGGCGCTTTCCCTGCAGAGGGGCAGAGCTGAGGGAGACCCCCAAGAGCGGTGCTGGGCACGGGGGCCCCACACGCATCTCAGGGGTCCAGTGATCCCGCCCCGCATCTGCCTCTTGCGCTGCTCTCAGGGCCTCGGGGCGAGCTGGTACCTTCTAGGGCGGCTCTGGGGCCTGACCCTGACCCTGGGATCAGTGCCCTGGCTGCTGAATTCCGCCCCAAGCGCAGGGAAGAGTGCAAGCGGGTCATCAGCTCAGAGGCCGAGAAGCGCCTCCGCTCAGGCCCCTCGAGGCCCCCACGAGCCGGCCCAGGCAACCCCGCGGGCTGGGGCTCCTCTGCGCTCAGCGCCTGCTCCGCGGCCTGACTCGGCTCCAGGAAGACAGCGTGGGCCTCGGGGCCACCAAGGGCCTCTTCTCTCTGGTACACCCGCATCTTGCGCCCTGACAGGGGTGGGGTGAGAGAGCACAGGCTGGCATCCAGGGGGGTCTCCCCTCCCTGCCACTGCCGTGTGACCCTGGGCATCAGAGGGATGTGCCCGAGAGAAAGGCCAATGTTTTTGCCAGGATCTTTTCCCAGAGTGATGTGGTCAGCCAGAGGGGTGGGGAGAAAGCAAAGTACCTGACTGCTGTGGGCAGAGGCCCAGGAAGCCCAGGACACCTGCTCACTGCGTGTCCCCAGACAAGTTACCTGCCTCCTCTGAGCCCCGGCTCCCCTATCCCTAAAATCTATCACTTGTCCTGCCTGTTCGGGGAATCTGGGGGCTTACTGGTCCTAAAAGAGCCACCCCACCTCTCCCCTATCCTCCCCCCACCACCACGCCCTCCCCCGGAGTGACTCACAGGCTGACTTCTTCTCTGAGCCGTGGCTGGCCCGGCGCTGTGGCTGTGGGTGCTGGGGACTCCAGGGTCCCTCCAGGGCTGGGGGCTGGGCACTAGGACAGTGTGGCCAGCTGCCAGCCCTGCTGGGCCGCATTCCCCCGCTGGTGGAGAGCTCGGGGTCTGCGCCTCCTGGGGGCGGTGGCCATAGCAGCCCCTGGAGGGGAGCGGGGGTCCCCAGAGACCAGCGGCTGCCAGGTGCCTGCAGCTCCTCTGGAGCCACAGGGAAGAGATCCAGACACACAGGGCCTGGAGGCTGCAGGATGGGCAGCTCCGTGAAGGACAGACTCTCCTGCTGGCACACGGCCACTGGGTGGTGGGCAGTGCCAGGCGGCCCAGCCAGATGGGGCTGGAGGGCAGCAGGTGGCCCACAGTCCATTCCTCCTTTGCTCCGCCACCCACAAGGGCCTGCGGGGAGAAGGCATCAGAGCAAGGCACAGGACAGCAGTGGCCAGTAAGCACCATGTCCTGGAGGCCTGGACGAAGTCTCATGTACACACATCTGTACAAGCATACTCACACACTTGATTATATAGCAATAACTAATGCTTACTTGGCACTTACTTAATGACAGGTCAAGTACTTTACACATAGTAGTTCATTTAATCCTTTGAAGCCCCAGCAACCCAGAGTTGATGCTTTTTTTTTTCTTTTAGTTGTGGTTCGAAGGTTCAAGTTGGCACACAGCATGAGGGATCTTAGTTCCCTGACCAGAGATCGAACCCAAGTTCCCTGCATTGGATGGCAGATTCTTGACCACTGGACCACCAGGGAAGTCCCCTGATCTGATATTGTCATTAGCCCCACTTTATAGGTGAGGAAAGTGAGGCGGAGAGGTTATCTGGTAAACAGTGGGGCCCGGATTCAAACCCAGGCAGTCTAGCTCTGAGTCTGTGCCTTTAAGCACCTTGTACATTTCCTAACTCTCTGACATATGATCAGACATACAGATACATACACTGTCACACAGACCCACGTCTGTTCCATGTACATCCACACGTATTTTCTTCCAGCTGCAGACACTGACATACGTACTTTCACAGATACACTCCAACATTTCAAATTCACAGGTTCACACATTCACACACACTTTTTTTATACAAGTACATATATTCACTCACTTTCACAAACACACGCTGAGCCATCAGATATTTACATATCCACTCAAGTTTTCTCACACTCCTGTTTCATTCACACTCAAAACACCATGACGCAAATACAAACACACAGGCCCAGAAGTCCTGGTTGGTGTTACCCAACCTCCCCTCCTGTGCCCAGAGTTGCAGGCTTCAGTACTGAGTGGTGCCCACACCCATGCCAAGCTGGCTGGGAGGGTCACAGATCGGCAGGCGGGCCACCACCCAGGACAGGCTGGGCCTTCCCAGGAGAAGGGAAGGAAAGAGCCCCAGCCCCCCAGCTTGGGGTGAGAGAGGGGACCCCATCTCCCAGCCCCAGGAACAGGACAACCTGTGTGGGGCCTCTCGGGCAGGAAGTCATCCCCAGTGAGGCTGCCGGAGCCTCAGGTCAGGCCTACCCGTCAGCGGGCCTGAGCCCCCAGCCCTGGCCCCCGGCCCCGCTCACTGCATCCCCTCACCTCTGCACCAAGGCCCGCCGCGGATGGGGCTTGGCTGCTCCGGCAGGGGAAGCCCTCTCTCTGCCCAGCTGGCCTGGGGAGATCCCACCCAGACAAAGAGTTTGATTCATCAAGCCCTGTGGTGAGGCAGGCGGGGAGGGAGGGAGGGAACAGGCAGCAGGCTGGGCGGGGGCCTCCCGGGGCCTGGCCTTGCTGTGGGCAGGCTGGGCAGCAAGGACACCCCCTGCCCAGAGGCCAGCTCAGGCCAAAGGGGCAGCGCCTGCCTGGCAGGGCCGGGAGACTCAGGAGACAGAGCCGGAGAGACCAAGGGGCTGAGGCTGGAGGACAGGGATGCTTTAGAGAGCGACCCAGAAACCGAGACCCCAGAGCACTCCAGACAGGAAAACCACAGATGCTGAGGCACTCAGGGGCCCAGGGACGGGACACTGCGCGTTTCAGACAGACCAGATACTCAGAGACAGATGTGAAGCCCAGGAAAACCAGAGGAGACGGGCAGGCAAATGCTTCGTGCCCTTTGGGATTGCCAGTCTCACGGGGAAGCCAAAACAAAAACAGTGGCAATCCAGGTTGAAAAGAACCAGCCCAGAGGAGCTGTCAGAGCAGAGGGCTGGACTCACCTCGACCCGGGCATCCCCGGAAGGCGTCCTGAAGGAAGTGATAGCAAACTGTCCCGACTGAAATACCCAGGGGTCCAGTACACAGAGAGAGGGAGAAAGCTTTGGCATGAAAGCAACAGCGACAGTGTCAGTGAGCCTGGGGGTGGGGGGCAGGGGAGGGAAGAAGGGGAAGGACCAGCGGGGGGCCGCTGGTCTGTGCCCGGGCCCCTCCTGAGCACAGGGTGGGGCTGCTCCTGAGGACTTCTCAGGCCCTCCCCACAGGCAGCAAATCTGTCTGTTTCCTCGTCTGGGGAACAGCATAGTCAAGCTTCAGAATGCTGATAGGAGAATTAAGAGGACTTCCCTGGTGCCGCAGGGGTTAAGAATCCTCCCTCCAATGCAGAAGATGCAAGTCTGATCCCTGATTGGGGAACTAAGATCCCAGGGGCCTGAGGCAAGGGGGACTAAAGCCCGTGCGCCTCATAGAGCGCCTACCTGCTCCTCACTCACCACAGCCGGAGAGAAGCCCGTAGGCGGCAAAGGAAGACGCCACACGCAGCAACTAAGACCCAATGCAGCCAAAAATAAATAAAGATTAAAAACATAAGAATAATGCAAGAGGACTTCCCTGGGAACTGAGATCCTGCATGTTGCATGGTGTGGCCAAAGAAAAGAATAATGTATGTAAAGCACCTCGCACACACTGGGAGCTTTGCAGTTGATCGTCATTCTTCTGAGTACTTTTAGTCTTTCTCCAGTCACAAGGATGGCTTGGGCCATTACACAGTTAGGAAAACTGAGGCAGTGATGTTAAGACACATCCTGTTTTGTAGGAGCATGTGGCAGGAGACATGGGACCACTGCCCACCGGACAGGTCTCTTCTTGCTGGAATCAGAAGTCCCACTTGCTTCTGTCAGCACGCCTGTGCAGGAACACACGTGTGCTTCTGCTCTCTTACATTCTGGAGAGCCTCTCCACTGGGGTTCTGGAAGCCCCTAGAGGGCTGAGAGGAACCCTCCCTCCCCATGTCAGCTGCAGGGATAAATGAGCAAAACATGGAACCGTGGGGGCAGGAGCATCTCATATTTTCAAAAAAATTTTTTTGGCCACACTACACAGCACGTGGGATCTTAGTTCGCCAACCATGGATCGAACCTGTGCCCCCTGCAGTGGAAGCGCTGAGTCCTACCCACTGGGCCACCAGGGAATTCCAAGGAGCACCCCCCACTAAAGCCTCAGAGGAGGAGGCTGGGTAAATGGAGGGAGACGTGCAAGGCTTCGTGGAGGAGACAAAGCTGGAGGCAGGTCCGCGGGCAGGAGGTCAGGGGTGGGTTAGCTCCGTCTCTGCCCAGGCCAAGGGACAATGAGAGTGACCATCCAGCCAGGGCGCCAGGCCTGTGGCCTTCCGTGGACGTGGTCTACCCAACCTCAGTGCTAGCATGCTTACAGCTTATCTCCACCAGATCCAAAAAAAAACTCTCAGGAAGAGACGGGTCCCAGGTAACAGGGACATTACCTGCTCACGACCTGATCACAGGGTGCCCCTGTGCCCACCAGGCAAGGGAGCCCACGGCGGCGAGCCCCTGCCAACACTCACAGCCCCGCACTGACTCTGACCAGCTGTGTGACTTCAGACGAGTCAAGCCTGGGCCTGGGCCTGAGTGTCCCCATCTGCAGAGTAGCTCTGAGAACTGTCCCCAGGGCTGCAGTACTCATATTGCCCCCAATGAAACTTAACTCACAACTCTCAGGTTGCGCTTTTTTTTTTAAGTCGACAGAGAGTCCCATCCAGGGGGTACTCATCACAAGGACAGTGGACCCACTCCTCAAGGCTGGCAGGGAGGGCCCCTAGATGCTGGTATGGTCCGGACCTCCTATGCCCAGCTTTTCCCTGCCCCCTCCAAGGTGCCCCTGGCCCTGCTGCCCGAGGAGTAGGGCCCTGCAGGGCCCCTCTTCTTCTCAATGCAGGGAGCCAAGTGGGAGGTCATGGCTGGAAAGGAGACTCAGGCCATGCAGGCTATGGAAGCCCAAGAGGCCATAAGCGTGTGGGGGCCAGGATCAGAGGCCTGGGAGGCTGCACAAAGGACTTACTCGGGAAGACTGGTGGGAGGAGGATGGGGCTGCTGGCAGCCAGGGGGCCCTACCTCAACCAGGGAGCTCCGTCCAGCCTCCAGCACGGTCCTGGGCTCCAGGCTGCCCTGGGGACTCTGGGGTTGCAGCCAGGTCCTCAGGGGGCGATGTCAGCATGGCCCCTGAGCCAGGCAAGGCAAACTCCTGGGTATTGTGTGGGGCAGGGAGAGGGGAGGCGAGGGTGGAGGGAACCTCGCAGGCAGGCAGGCGGCTGTCTCAACGTGCCTTCTCCCCGCCCCCCTTCCCCAGAACCGGTTTGGCCAGTCTGAGGTACAAGAGGTGGGCTGGAACAATAGGAGTCCTATGCCCAGGAGAGGCTCTGAAAGGACCCCAGACTGACATCCTAAAGATGGGGGAGGCACTGCTTTCCCTCCCAGGAGACAGGTCACCCTTCTGCTGCAGCTTCCCAAGTGTGAGATGTGCTCAGGGGACTTCTTGGGGCTGGGGAACATCTCAGAGAATGATGAGCCTTGGACTAGTCAGGGACCCTGAGGACTCTACAGGGTGTTGATCCTCGCTGAGCCAGGCAACAGCATCTATAACGGGGTTTTCTGGTAGCTCAGGTGGTAAAGAATTCACCTGATTCCTGGGCTGGGAAGACCCCCTGGAGGAGGGACAGACTGCCCACTCCAGGATTCTTGGGCTTCCCTGGTGGCTCAGCTGGCAAAGAATCTGCCTGCAATGCAGGAGACCTGGGTTGGATCACTGGTTTGGGAAGACCCGCGGGAGAAGGGAACAGCTACCCACTCCAGTATTCTGGCCTGGAGAATCCCATGGTCTGTATAGGCCATGAGTCGCAAAGAGTCAGACACGACTGAGTGACTTGCACTTCACTTCATTTAATATGAGTGTATACAAGTACTAGTGCTCCTGTGCTAGTAACTCTTATTATACACTAATGTGCCAGGCACTGTTCTGAGCACTTCACACACTAAATATTCATTTAATCTCCACCACAACCCTATGAGATAGATGCTATAACTGCTCCCACTTAACAAGTTGAGGACATGAGACTTGCACAGGTTAAGTACATTATCCCATTTAAATCTCTCATCAGC